AAGTTAAATCTAAAACATCTACTCTTCTAACACGGTCATCAGATGATCGACGCTTAATGTGACCCAACATTCTAAGGTGAAACACGGTCATCAGATGGTCGACGCTTAATGTGACCCAACATTCTAAGGTGAAACACTCTAATTTTGTCCGTCACTGGAGCTACTCCAACTCTTTTTTAGATACAATCATTTTGTATTTTGTTTCTAAGTGTAAAACCACTCATCCGCCCGATCATTTCATCCCAGCAACACTTAAATTTTTTTTTGCTTCTCTTTTACAGGCTAACATTCTGCGCCATAAAGCATTGTAGGTCTCACCATCATATTATAAAATTTTCTTTTAAGTTTAAGGGGTACTTTTCTATCACAGAGTAGGTCTGATGCATTCCTCCACTTCAACAATCCAACTTGAATTCTAACAATTACCTCACCGTCTATATCACCAACTCTTCGAACATTAGACCGTACACATCTAAAACATTCATTCCTTTTAATGACTTAATCACCCATTGTTACAACCTCATCACTAGATCTAATACTACTAAAATTATATTTCATGCATTCAATTTTAAATGGACTCAAATGAAAGCCTTTAAACTCTAAAGTTAACATCCATAAATTAAGTTTTTTTTTAACTCTCTCCAGTCTTAATGATAACAAGGATATCTTCAGTGGTAAGGATACACCAAGGTACATCCTCTTGTAAATATTCAATAAGAACCTCCATAACTAAAGCAAAAAGATATGGGTTTAAAGCCAATCCTTGTATAATCTAACTAAAATAGAAAAAAAATAATTGATCAATCCTCCTTGTGTTCGAACAAAAATAACAATTCTAGTATACATATATTTAATGACTTGAGTATAAACAACATTAACACATTTATTTTCTAGAAATCTCTTAAAGTATTTCTCTTGGAATCTTATCATAAGTTTTTTCTAAATAATTAAAAATCAATATGTAGATCCTCTTTACTTTTTATATACTTATCCATCAAATCTCTCAATAAATGAATAGCTTCCATAGTAGACTTGCCCAGTATAAATCTAAACTGATTTTGAGAAATTTTTGTATCATGTTGCAACTTATGTTCAATCACTCTCTTCCATAACTTTAATTTATGAAATTTTAATTTAATTCTTTTATAATTTGTACACTCTTGTGCATCCCATTTATTCTTAAAAATAGTAACTAATAGACTCTCTCTCGATTCATCAAACATTTTTTAATTTTTAAAATAATATTAAAAAGTTTAGTAAGTAAAAAAATTATCAAATCTCCTAAACATTTTCGCACTTCTATTTGAATACTATAAGGTCTTACTGTTTTTTCATACTTTATTTTCTCTAAAGTCTCATCAATTTTGGTTTTACTAATATGATGGCAAAAAAAAAAAAAAATGTTATGATTTATGCTATTAAGATCACTGAAGTCGATCATATTTTCATAATTTTAATTCAAAATTTATCAAAATATCTCACGTACTTATGTTGAATACCCTCATATAAAAGTACTTTTTGATTTAATTTTTAACACATTTTACCTAACTACAATTTTTTTATCTCTTTGCTTAGCTATTTTATACATGTATCATTTACCATCTTTATTATCTAATTTATTATAAAAATCATTAAAAGTATATTCTTAGCTTTCAAATTATTATTTTACTCTCGACGAGCCATTTTTATTTTTCTCAATTCCTAAGTTTTTACATCTAAACTACTTTTTATAATAAAATTTGCTAGTTTTTTTTTTCTTGGCACATTATTATTGCACCACAGATTATCTTTATTCATAAGAGTTTTTTTTTATTTCTCCTAGCATATCTTTTGCAACTTTCTTGATAGTACTCATTACTATATCCCACATAGTATTGGCTTTTTCATGAACAACTCAGATCTTAAGATCTTATAGTTTACTTATAAGAATATTATATGTGTCTTTTAATTAATATCATCTAATTCTATGATAATTTTTTATTTTCTAAACCTTTATCTTAAAATCTATCTTAAAATCCAATAATACTAATCGATGTTTGGTGCTTAAATTTTCATCTGGAATGACTTTACAATTTTTTTCAATCTCGACGATCCATTTTTATCATAACAAAATAATCAATATGTTTTATTAAATGCATTTTTTTGTGATAATATGCTCATATATTTTCTTAAATGAAGTATTAACAATAACAAAATCATAAATTAAAGTAAAATCTAATATCTTTCTATCTTCTTCATTATTCACTCCAAAATCATAGCCACCCCGAATACTTCTAAAATCTTTTATCACTCTACCAATAAAGTTCATATAATCTTCTTTAGTAAAAATTCATTTTTTAAGAGGTATTTTTTATTTGTATCATAAGAAAATAATCAATATATTTTATTAGATTCATTTTTATATGTGATAATATGCTCATCTCTTTTCTTTAATAAATTATTAACAATAACAAAATCATAAATTAAAGTAAAATCCATTATGTTTCTATCATCTTTATTAGTCACTCCAAAATTATAGCCACCCTGAATATTTCTAAAATCTTCTATCACTCTACCAATAAGTTTATTTAATTCTTCTTCAGTCAAAATTCATTTTTAAGAGGTATTTTTTATTTTTATCATAAGAAAATAATCAATATGTTTTATTAGATTCATTTTCATAAATGATAATATGCTCATCTCTTTTCTTAAATAAAGTATTACCAATAACAAAATCGTAAATTAAAGTAAAATCCAATATGTTTCTATCTTCTTCATTAGTCACTCTAAAATCATAGTTACTCTGAATACTTCTAAAGTCTTCTATCACTCTGCCTATAATTTCATTTAAATATTCTTCAATCAAAATTCATTTTTTAAGAGGTATATTTTATATTAATTCTTCTAGGTCATTTCAAAATCTTTCTTTTAAATATATGTCTAAACCTATTTGGGGAGCATAAACACTTATAACATTAAGAATCTTAGTATCAATAATAATGTTTAGAGTTATAATTTTATCTCCATTTCTATTAATTTTTATAATATTATCTTTTAAACTCTTATATATAATTACACTTATACTATTTCTTGTATGACTCCTCCATGAATGCTAAGATTCAAAACTAAAGATATCAATCTATTTAGCCTTAGCTCTACCTCATTTAATTTCTTGAAAGTATAAGATATTTATCTTCATATGAAATATAATATATACTAATTTCATTAATTTATCAATGAGAGCATTTATATTTCAAGTTCCTATCATAATATTAGTTTTATGTACAAATTTTTTTGCATGTATTCGTTCTGAATGTTGGAACTCTTAATTATTTAACTCTACATTCGGGCATTAGTGCAATAACACTTGCACACTTTTTACTGTATTCAGACCATACAACACGCCACTTTCAAGGGATGCCCTAACATTGACACAATGATTTAAATGATCATGTCATAGTTTTTTGACAAAATATTTACTCTGGCTGTGGACTACTTTACACAACCATCTATTTTTCACATGCGGGACTTACGACCAAACAATGGTTGTGCTGTATTGTCCTTTATACTTAAGAATAATAATAATAAAAAACTCCTTGACTATGAACAATTCTAGCACTTCCAACAACAAAAAAGTTGTCATCTTTGGAATTTTCATATTCAGATCTTCACCACCGCAAGTTTCAAGGGCCTTTACCAATAAATATCCACCTTTGCACTTCTATCATGGTGCTTATAAGAAATGCCCAATGAGATATCTTGGCTTAAATTATTTGCAAATAATCTAATTTCTTAAGAAGGCCTGTCCTAAAGCAGACGATAAGCTAAAATGATGTATGCAAAAAATTAGAAATAGAAGAAATTTGGAAACTTGTAAAGGTTGATTTATGATCAATAAATTTTTAGTGGATGTGAAATGATATTATTTAATAATAAGCTAGTTGTGCTAGGTTTTATATCTTTTGGGCAGAAAAAAGACGAGTAAATGATACATTTAGTAGCACCAACACTGGATGGTTAAAATGAAGTGGTGGGTGTGAGACACTGTGTTAAGAGAATGTCATAATCAAGCGTTGATATGATATGTAGGTTTGAATGCGTACAATATTGAGTTCACTATCATTTACTTGAGTGTAAAAGAAGTGGAAATGTTAAGATGAGTTGTTACAAAAACAGAAAAAAAAAAAAAGTGAAGAGTGTGTTTTAAAGTGGGTGAGTAGCCCCCACCATAGAGAATACTTTTGAGGAAATATGTTCAGGTGGTTGAGAAACTACAACTGAGAATATGTGCCAATAAGGAAAATTGCATCAGTTTTTGCTGAGTATTAAGGAAAATCGGTAGACTAAGGTGGTGTTCTAAAAAATGTGCATTTGTTTTATTTAAACTATGGTTATGGCCACTTGCAAGACTGGACAAATGAATGATTGACAATAGTTAATGCTGTGATGACCCTCTAGTAGATTTCCCTTGGAGATTCTAATGTATTTATTTTGCTTGTTAAAATTCTTGTGTTGCAGGTGGAGTCATTAATTTCCTGTATTGTGCTTAAACACATCTTCTGTGTGGTTGCCATTTTTGTAGGACTTAGTAGCCTTGATATTGATTTTTTTTTGAGAATGACAAATTGAGAAGCTTGTTAGGAAATCTCTTTAGCATTACTTTTTATGCATCTTTCATGCTAATACTCTTGAAATTTTACGGATTCTTCAATCTGGTTCTAATATACAGTTCCATTCTAGTGCCTCTTACCTCTTAAAGTCTTCCCTGTGTCAACAGGAGTCCATTGTATCTATTACCTTCAGCAATAAAACTTCTAGATATCTATGTTCGGGGGGAAGTGGCCATGTTGTCCGAATATGGGATTTGCAAAGAAAACGATGCATCAAATGGTTGAGCGGCCATTCAGATACCATAACAGGGGTTATGTACAATTGCAAAGATGAACATCTGGCATCCATCAGTATGAAAGGGGATCTAATTTTACATAATCTTGCTTCAGGAGCCAGGGTTGCTGACTTAAAAGATCCATTTGGGCAGGTATTTGTTAGTTTATGTTAATATTTCTGTCCATGCTTCATCATATTAATTATGTAAAATGATTTGCTTTTAAACTTGTTTTTTTTATCTATTGAGATATGCTTTTCTAGTTTTTTATCCTTTTGGTGCTTTAAAGCCAGGTGTTAAGAGTGCTTGATTATTCTCGACTTAGTCGGCAGCTTTTGGCCATAGCAGGTGATGATGGATCCATGCATGTGTGGGACACAACAGGTCGTGCTCCAAAGGTTTGTAATTCATACGAAATACATTGTTTTTCTACAAGATAGCTATGAATCCTTCAATTTTTTGACCTTCTCAAGCTATTAGTTTTATGATTGTCAGTGTATTTTGAATGATAGCGTGATAAATGCAGCATGCATTGTTGTTTTTAAATGAATTCAAGATGTTCTCGAAAACTCCTTTAGTATAAACATATCTATACTCCTTGATATATTACCTTGCAGGTAACTGTCATATGCTATTTTTTATTGACTTTGAAAGTTTGGGAGAGTAAAAATATTATTCGTTTTCAATTTCATAGGAAACACTTCTGCAGGGCGGGGAGGAGGCTACCACATTAGGAAAGCTACAAAATCCCCTGTGATAACAAACAAGAAACAAAAGTTACAATTTACCAAGAATAACACATTCAAAAAGTAGGAAATACTAAAAAATGAAGATATTAATAATAACACTTCCTAAAATTTTAACACCCCTTTTCGAGTTGGAGCATAGATATCTACATGCCCAATTTGCTTACAAGTAGCTCATAGCTAGGCCTGAAATGTCATTTGGTGAAGATATCTGCTTTTTGCTGAGCAGGAGGAATAAATGACATGCAAATTGCTCCAAAATCAATCTTCTCTTTTATGAAGCGCCTATCAATCTCCACATGCTTTGTGCGATCATGCTGCATTGAATTTTTTGCAATGCTTATGGCTGTTTAATTGTTAGTACAACTTCATTGGCACATTTATTGTGGTTTGCATCTCTTCAAGTTTTCTTTTCAATCGTAACATCTCACACATTCATTGGCTTCTACATCAACACTTTTCATAATCACATTCTGTTTTGTACTTTTCCATGTAATCAAATTTCTCCAAACGTACAATATTCAGAAATTAATCTCTTATTAATAATTGAGTCCACTCAATCTGCATTAATGTATGCTTCTATGTTATGCTGTGTGAACTTCTGAATGAGCAAGTCCTTGCCTGTTGTACCTTTTAGATATTTGAGAATTCTATTAAGTGCTTCAAGATGTTTCACACAGGGAGAATGCATAAATTGACATGGCAAGCACCAATGACAATATCTAGCGGTATATGTGATAAATATATCAATTTTCCTAACAACTTTTGGTGTCGAACTGTATTCAATCTATCACCTCTTCCAATTTCTGATTAGCATCAATTGGAGTTTCTGCAGGTCTACCCTCTCATCCCAGTTTCCTTTAGAAGATTAAGAACATATTCTCGTTGGGAAACAACAATCCCTTACTTCAATTTAGCAACCTCCATGCCAATGATAAACCTAAGAGATTCTAGTACCTTGGTCTCAAACAAAGATGATTGGGAGGTCTTTAAATGGTTCATCTCCTATATGTCATCTCCAATGAGAACAATATCATCAGCATACGCAATTAGTATGACTCTTTCCATCTGTTGAGTGTTTGAAGAACATTGTATGATCTCCTTGTTCTTGAGTATAATCTTGACTTTTAATTAACAATGTAAATTTCTGAAATCACACTCTCAGTGTTTACTTCAACTCGTATAAGGATTTTTTTTTTTTAGTTATACACTTTTGTATCAAACACCTCACTAACATCTCGCTAAATCCCGGAGGTGCATCCATACACACTTGTTTCCTTAAATCCTCATCGAAAAATATATTTTTTATATCCAACTATTTTATGGGCCAGTTAAGATTAGCTGTAAGTGATAGAAAAAATATTATAAAATTTAGCTTTGCTATTAGGGAGAATATCTCCAAGTAAGCAATGTGTTACGCTCGCATATGAACCAGTTCCTCCTGGACTGGTTGAGAGCCATCCAACCGACCCACCACAATAGCAGGCGGACCAGGCGATTCCGCTAGAAGAGGTGGGATGGGCGGCTCAGCGAGAAGAGGCTGGACGGCGGGGAGCTGCGACAGAGGAAATCAGGAAGTAGGTGGGGTTCACGAGGGCCTTAATCACATATAACTAAGGGTTGTTTTTCTTTATGCATTTTTGTTGGTTGTTGTTTCTTTTTCTCTTGTAGTAATCCTAGAGGCGTCTAGGGTTGTGGGAGAGATGCTCTACCTCTCAAAAATTAGATCATCATTTTATTTTGTTTGGTTTTCCTTGTTTTTCGTAAGAGTAGCCCTCATTTGAGTTTTTCCATCTATCTATTACCATTTTTCCGTTGTTTGCTCGCTGGTTTTGGTTCCAGAGCGTATCAGATTGGTATCAAAGCAAAATCTTGGAGGGATGACAACAAAGAAAGTTGATGTGTTGGAAGGAGAAGTTGGGCAAATCAGATCGAGAATGGAAGAGAGGTTCGCCACCATGGAGGACAGATTTTCTTCCATTGAGAGCCGAATGGAAGACGGATTAGAGAGCATAGGAGAAATGTGGGAGATGATGAAAAATCTTATGTAGACGCAATCGAAGGTCATGCCGATCCCTCAAGTTGCAAACCTCAACCAAGGGTTGATCAGGGAATTCTTGACCAGGTCAAAAGGGAAGGAGATCTAATGAGAGGGCAACGAAGATGCCATCATCTACCACCAAGGGCGTTCCTGTAGAACTCCAAGAGGAGAGGGAGTGGAAACTTTTGATGGAGGGGCATGGGCTGAAAATTGGAGGGAAGGTGTAAGGGGCACGAAAGAGCACGAAGGACGAAGGAGGAAGGAGGAAGGAGGAAAAAGGGAATCCGGAGTTGGGTATGCTTATGACCGGAGGAGGGAGTTTCATCCTAGATACATGGAGGGAAATACCAGAGGAATAGGAAGTTGGGGTGGAGATGCAGGGGTTAGAAAAATGAAGATGCTGATCTTCGAAGGGGAAGATGCACATGAGTGGGTATATCGGGTGGACTGATACTTTGCAGTCAATGAGTTAATTGAGAAAGAGAAGCTCTTGACAACAAGATTGTGTCTAGAGGGAAAGGGTTGAGCATTGTTTAATTGGATGGAGCCAAGGTATTGATGCACTAATGGGAGGAGTTCAATGATTTCTTGTTGGAACGTTTCCGAGTCATTCGGGAGGAGAACTATACGGGCAATTCTATGCTCTAACTCAGGAGGAGACGATTACAAAATACTGGTAGAAATTCGAGCTCTTGTCAGGGTGTTGAGTATTTCTGTAGCAGGACTGGAAGAGAACTTCTTGAAAGGCCTGAAGTCGATATATGAGCAACCATCCGATCCTTGAGACCGCGTGAATTGAGGGAAATGATGGATCTCACCCAGGTGACGGAAGATAATAAACAGGTGAAAAAACCAACAAGACAGTAACACTTGAGGATTTTACATGAGTGTTTTGATAGCCACGATATCGAGGACCAAAACGGTGTCATTTCAGAAAGAGTGGCCAATGGAGAAGAATACGAGGATTCTTCCCAGGGGTAATTTCAAGCGTCTCACCGATGCAGAAATGCATGATAAAAGAGCAAAATGATTATGTTACCGCTCTGACGAGAAATATGCTCCAGGCCACCATTGCAAGGAGTGCGTCCACTAGATCCTTTTAGTTCAGGAGAAGGAGACAGAGTGAGGAATCGGAGGATGAAGTGGAGGAGGAGCATCTACATTTGGATCTAGCAGATGTGTCTTTCAATTCAATAGTGAAATTTACTCTGAATCACACCATGAAGGTGATGGGTAGATCGAGGAACAACCAATTTTGGTGTTGGTGGATAGCGGGACCACCTATAACTTCATTTCAAATCCAAGTCAGGGAGAAGCTAGGATTGGAGCTGGTGGCTACAGGGAGCTTTGGATTCATGATGGGGATAGAGAATGTGGAGAAGAGTCGGGGAATTTGTTAGGGGTTGATTCTGACACTGCATAGCCTACAGGTGGTGGACTTCTTTACTTTGGATTTGGGCAGCACATATGTGATCTTAGGGATGAAGTGTCTGAGGACACTTGGGAAGATGAATATGGATTGGAAGTCCCTATCGGTGGAGTTCCAAGTGGAGGGTAGGAAGGTGATGCTGAGAGGAGATGCTAGTTTATGCAATGCTATGGTGTCGCTTAAAACCATGGTCAAGTCAATATGAGGAGCAGGGCTGAGCTACTTAGTGGAGCTGCAGAGCATTGAGAATATTTGAGATTCAGTGTTGATAGTTTCCCGAAGGGGTCCAATAGCTCTTAAAGTAGTTTACAGACGTCTTCCAACAACCAAGCGGGTTACCACCCCCGAGGGAGCACGAGCATGCTATTACATTAAAGGAGGGTGTTTCTTTTATCAGTGTTAGACCATACGATACCATCTGATTCAGAAGGATGAGATAGACAACTTGATCCACGAGATACTCGAGGTCGGGATTATCAGACCTAGTGTGAGACTTTTTTCCATTCTAGTCTTATTGGTGAAGAAAAAAGATGGTAGTTGGAGATTCCGCATGGATTATTAGACTTTGAACAAGGAGATGATGTTCACGAGATACTCGAGGCCGGGATTATCAGACCTAGTGTGAGACTTTTTTTCCATTCTAGTCTTATTGGCGAAGAAAAAAGATGGTAGTTGGAGATTCTGCATGGATTATTAGACTTTGAACAAGGAGATGATGTTGGATAAGTTTCCTATTCCTGTGATTGATAAGTTACTGGATGAGTTTTATCATACAGTTATTTTCTAAAAAAAATGATTTAAGCCAGGATACTACCAGATCATGATGAATCCAACAGATGCGCATCATGCCACGTTTAGGACATATGGACATTATGAGTTCTTGGTGATGCTGTTTAGCCTCACTAACGCCCCGATCACATTCCAGTCCCGCATGAATAAAGTTTTTCATCCTTACCTCCGGAAATTTATCCTTATCTTCTTTGATGACATTCTAGTTTACAGTCGTACAGAGACCGAGCATGTGGGGCACCCGAGGACAATCATGGAAATATTGAGGGATCACTAATTGTATGCCAACTTGAAGAAATGTTCTTTTGCATAGCTACAAGTGGAGTACTTTAGTCCAAAATGGAGATATGGTAGATTGACCCTTACCAAGGAATTTGAAGGAGTTGAGAGAGT